AAACTTGACTTGGATCGCGACGCGATTTGAAGTTACGAAGGCCATCGCGCGGCGAAGGAAGAGACGCAGACGCGGCAAAGGACGAGTCGCAGCGCATACTGTAGCGGTTAGGCGTCAGGTTAAATAGAGTGTACCATACTACGTCTCATATCGCACAGCACGCTGCGACTCGTCCTTTGCCGCATCTGCGTCTCTTCCTTCGCCGCGCGATGGGCCTCTTGGGGCACCCGAACGCGGTGGTTGACCCCGGCTCGAGTCCTTGGGCTGAGAGTTTTTCATAAACCAGCACTCTTGTGAAAATTTTCAACTGAGGAGTGTGCGTTCAACACAATTCAAATCTGAGTGGCTCAACAAACATCAATCCCGTCAAATATTTATTGTGGACAATATTAAGAAAAAAGATCATCTTGACCTAGTAGGGTGTCTGTTACAAAATTCACGATCAACATTAGATACATAAATTGGTATGCTATTATTCAGATATCTAAGAAATGAACCTTAGCCTCATTTCGTCGACGCCTTTCAGCCAGATGACGCTGGGCTCTCAAGGCACGTCTGTTGTAACCCTCCATGTGAAACGCGTCCTGCGCGGCCGGATACCTTCTCATTCGGCTTTTCACCCCATAAACCTTCTTACATGACGCTGCTACCCGTTCAGCTTTCTCTTTTCTCTCCTTCTCAGGTATAGCAGCGATGAACTCGTCAATTTTTGCAGACATCGCCTCATTGCTCGCTCCACTGTCTTTCATCTCCTTGATTTTAGCCACGTTCTCGTCTCCAATGTACTCTTTGATGTAGTGTTTGCAAGCGGCTCTCAGCTGTACAGATGCTTTCTCCTTGACATCACCTGAGGCGTTCTCAAACATCTGCAGCACTTTCGTCTCGACTGCGATACGATCTCCGGTTCCATAGATTTTCTTCACCTCAGCTTTCTGATCATCGCGAAGCCACGATAGGTATTTCTCCATTGCTTCCTCAAGATTATGTTCGTGATGCTCCCTTCTTCAGATCAGTAGTCTTGTGCTACTGCTCATTATCTTTTACTAATGGCTATTGAGTAAACTCGGACGAGCTTTAGTCTCTCTTCTTGTTTCGTCGGTCTCGATTCAGGACTCGACACGAAGTGCCTCTGCTATGGCCCTTGGGGCTAGGTATATGTGCTTCTGATATGTGAGGTCAATAGTGCTCATCTTCACTTTATCTAATCTTATGCTTCTCGTCGTGCATTTCTCTATTTCGCCGATGGAGTCCTTAACGTAGTGCCTGCAGGCTGCCTTCAGCTCGACGGTGGCCTTCTCTTTCACGTCACCAGAAACGCTGTCGTAGATTTCCATCACCTTCTTGTACATGGCTTGTTTGTCGCCTGCGTCGTTTACAATCTCTATCCTCCTCCTGTGTGTGTGAGGTATATATACCAGTAAGTTCTCTTCCAGGCAAGCGGTTCGTTCTCAAAGTTTGTGTAATACATGATTAGAACGCTCATCTTCTCTTTATAGCCGCATAAAGGAAGGGATAAAATAGATATGTAGGAATCAGCAAACAGCGTACTATCTCTTTTTACACGCTACTGCGGCTCGCTCTGCTTGCGCTTTCTTCTTTCTCGTCGGTGATGGCAGCGATGAACTCCTCAACCTTGGCGGCGATAGCTTCCGGGGTAGCTCCGCTCTCTTTCATCTCCTTGAGCTTCTCGGCATTCTCGTCACCGATGGAGTCCTTTACATAATGTCTGCAAGCCGCCTTCAGTTCGACGGTGGCTTTCTCTTTCACGTCACCAGAAACACTGTCGTAGATTTCCATCACCTTCTTGTACATGGCTTGTTTGTCGCCTGCGCCGTACAACTTCTTGACCTCCTCCTTTTGTTCGTCATTCAGCCAGGTGAGATATTTCTCCATGGCTTCTTCCAAGTTGTGTTCATGGTGATCCCTTCTGAATCGACGAGCCACTCCGTAAATTTTCCTACAGTTTGCAGATGCTCGAAGTGCTTGAGCCTTTTTCTTGTCGTCTGCGATTGCTTCAATCAGCTCTTCGACTTTTGTTGCGATGGCATCATTTGAAGCCCCGTTTTCTTTCATCTCTTTGATCATCTCACCATTTTTCTCGCCAATCAGATCTTTCACATAATGCTTACAGGCGCCCTTCAATTCCTTTGCTGCTTTCTCCTTCCTGTCACCTGTAGCCTCATCAAAGTACTCCATAATTTTATCATACACAGCACCTCTGCCTTCATCCGTGTAAAGAGACTTGACCTCCTCCTTTTGGTCATCAGTTAACCACGTCAAATACTTCCCCATTGCGTCTTCAAGTGAATGTTCGTGATGACCCCTTTTCACACGTTCCAGTGTGACACCGAATATGCGCTTACAAGCTGCTGACGCTTTCTTTGCCCTCGATCTTGTGATTTCGTCAGCGATGTCCTCAATCGCTTCTTCGATTTTTTCGGCAATTTTTTCTAGGGGTGTAGCGCTTTCCCTCATGGCACGGATATTCGGCGGCCTTCTCAGCTCCCAGAAGTTTTTCGATGAAATGTTTGCAAGCGGCCTTCAGTTCTTCTGAGGCCTTTTCCTTCTTTTCTCCACTGACACCTTCAAAGTACTCCATGACTTTCTTGTAGATAGTTTCCTTATCACCGCTTTCTTTGAGTGACTTCAGTTCCTGCCTTCTGGTCATCGCTTAGCCAGGTGAGGTATTTGTCAGGGCTTCTTCAAGAGTAACGGGATGGGGTTCGTCTCTGCGAGTTCGACTAGAGCCATAGACTTTCTTACATGCTGCCGTGAAACGTTTCGCTTTTGCTTTCTTTTCGGGATCCGTCATTTCTTCAACCATCTCCTCGACTTTCTGCGGGAAACTATCTACTCATCTGCAATTCTGTCCTTGCTGAGCGAGGAAAACAAGTTTTATCACTGGAGCTTTCACCTCTTCCATCATGATGATTGATAATAACTTACCAGGTGCTCTCGTTTTCAGAAACTCTACATCATTCCTTCTGCGACAACGACAACGGCTCTTTTCACGCATTTCAAGGGAGCAGCGTTGTCGCAAACCTACGGAGTTTCTAGTGCTACTCGGCAATACTACGGAACATCCTTTGGGACTTCCAGGCTAGTAGCGGGCAGGAAGTGCGGGCGAAAATGACAATGCGTTCAGCACCTCCTGGAGCCTGCTCCCCACCTGCCTGAGGCTCGAGTCTCTTTTTCACAAAAACATCGAAGTTTTTGAGCGCTTAGATGCATTGGCCGACCAACAATGCCCGTATCTGCGATAGGGAAAACTTCTAGTACATCGCAAAGCTCCCCGTGATTGATAAGGGCTCAATCTGCCTCGTGTTGCGGCTACTCTGAGTTGTCTTCATAAATTCACAGCAATGGGCTTAATACCGTGGAGGCACGTGAATAAAGTCACATAAGGGCACTGCTACAAAATGGATGATGACGGTTTGCTAGTCAGAAGAAAGAAGTCAGCCTGCTCTTTCATAGAATGCATGAAACAGTATCATCGATGGCTGTAACGAGAAAAAAGTCGCGAATTCATCGAACGACTGCCAGAAAACGAAGAAATCGGTCAGCCTTTTTTCAATTTTAGGGGGTACACATCGCAAGGAGTTAGATTTTCGCCGCTCAGGTTGCACCTTCTGACTCATTCAAAATTCTGGGGGTGCCCGTCGCGCGGCGAGAAGGCAGAGACGCAGACGGTCAGCGGACGAAGTCGCAGTATCCACCTGCAGTGACAGAGTTAAACTAGATGATGCCTACCATGTACGTCTCCTCTCGTACGCACCCCTGCGACTCGTCCGTTGACCCATCTGCGTCTCTGCCTTCTCGCCACGCGACGCGGGGCTTCCTGTCTGTGTTATTGTGCAGAAAAAGGTGGATCAATCAAAGTTTATTTGTTACATGTCATTATGGAATAAATCTTGAATTGTAGGAAGAAGTGCTTAAAAATCTTCCGTTCTGCGAGAAAATCTGGTAGCGGGATCACGTAACATCATGGCCATCATCACCGTCGTCACTTGGCGGCGAGACGTCGACGTCATTTACATGCTATTGACAAGTTCCTCGACTGGCTGACTCCTGATCAGAAGAGTGAGCTGGAGGTAGGTGGATCAAAAGGATTATTAAGAGGAATTTGTCTTCTATATAGGGAAGCGAGGCCCAAAGGGAATAAGAATTGATGGCATCCTGCAGAAAATCGCGCTCGTAGCGATCCAACAAGGATTCACCCTTGGCTGCCCCCGTCCGCCTCCTAGTTGCCTAGCCGTGGTTCCCTGTCCTCTGGCGCTCCAGCTATGCTGGAAAAGAGGCTGAACAATATTCTTCCATTTGACTGCTACCTCTATGGTTACGGACTCACTATTACGAGTGAGCTAATTGTCAGGGCGTTGCACCTAAAGGGCAGCGCGATCACGATAAGAAGGAGCGCATCGGGGAAGCATATGCACCACACGAATCAGTTACTTGGCTGCCAGGAAAGCGAGGTGTGGCGCTTTCACGACGAAAGGTGCGCTGGTTGCTGAGCAGGACTTTCGAAAGCGCTCCGCCCCCAAAAGCGATCCGCCCACAGTTTACTTGGTGATTTGGACGAGCTGAGTTGCCAGCCGCGGCACAAAGGAGCATTTCGATTTAAGCTGGCTTTGCATGGTGCCATCAAACGCGTTGTGTACAAAGTTCAAAACGTCCCGCTTTTTGCTGTTTCGCTTCTGTTCTTCAATCGAAAACCAAACGGCCAAGAAGGGGTCGCCGTTTTCGTTTTCCTGGGGCGGATTTCTCCCGCTTTTTTTCTCTCACTACGCGTACCAACTGTGGCAGTTACCACGTCCCCGTGCTGAAACCCTTCTTGATACCTATCGTAAATCAGCTGCCTTTCACACTTCTACTTTAATTTCCATAAAGCACAGGTTAGCGTTTTACTGCCTTTAATTTAATGAGAACAAAAATTAAGTTCACATCAATAAAAATCTCATTTACAGTATTTCGAAACTGTGATTCCAGGGAATCGAGCAAAGTGGATCACATTTTGACAACGTCATCGCAAAAGTGAAAGAATTCTTCGGTCTTCTGCCTGAAGAGAAGAAAGCCGAATTGAAGGCTAATTTCAAGGTATTTAGTTGTGGCAGGTACCTGTGCGGCATGTGAGGTTACTACACTTTTATCCAAAGTTTTAGGACCAGTGCTCCGCTTGGGTCAAAGAGGTCGCCACACCGGAAGAAATGGAAAGCATCAAAAAGATGCATGAGACAAAAGATTTCGGAGAGTTTTGAAGAAGAAAATCGCAGAGCTTGAGGATCGGCTCACTGAAGACCAGAAACACACGGTTGAGCACGTGCGTGAAGTGTGCTACGGTGTTTGGGAGCTGGATGAGGTAGGAATGCATTATAGGCCTGTTATTCTGTACACCAACTCAAAGTCTATATTTAGAGTACTCGAAGACGACGAGATGAGCATACGCATGATATCGAGGAAGGCATGCAAAAGTTCCTGACGTGGTTGACCGACGATCAGAAGCAGAAGGTCAAAGCAACATATGAGAGTGGTGATCGAGAAGCATTCTACAAAGAGATCATGACGATGTTCGAGGCTTCAAGTGGGGAAGTGAAAGCCAAGGCTAGTGAGGAGCTGAAAGCGGCTTGTAAGCACTATGGAAAGGAACTGATGGGTGAGGACAAAGTGAAGGTTCTCAAGGAGATGAAGAGACAGCGGTGCGACCCATGAGGCTATCTCGCAGAAAGTCGAGGAGATGGTTGAAGAAATGACGGATCCCGAAAAGAAAGCAAAAGCGAAACGTTTCACGGCAGCATGTAAGAAAGTCTATGGCTCTAGTCGAACTCGCAGAGACGAACCCCATCCTGTTACTTTTGGAAGAAGCTCTCCACAAATACCTCACCTGGCTAAGTGATGACCAGAAGGCAGAACTGAAGTCACTCAAAGAAAGCGGTGATAGGGAAACTATCTACAAGAAAGTCATGGAGTACTTTGAAGGTGTCAGTGGAGATAAGAAGGAAAAGGCCTCAGAAGAGCTTCAGGCCGCTTGCAAGCATTACATAAAAGAGATTCTAGGAGAGGAGAAGGCCGCTGAATTCCGTGCTATGAAGGAAAGTGGGACAAAGGTGGACGAGATTGTTAAGAAGATTGAAGAAGCCATCGATGAGCTCACCGATGAAGGCGCCAAGTCGAGGGCCAAGAAGGCATCAACAGCATGTAAGCGTATTTTTGGCGTAGTACATCGTGTGAGGAGGGACGAGCAACACCCTGTCACCCTCGAAGAAGCCCTGGACAAATATCTCACCTGGCTAAGCGATGATCAGAAAGCGGAACTGAAGTCACTCAAAGAGAGCGGTGATAAGGAAACCATCTATAAGAAAGTCATGGAGTACTTCGAAGGTACCAGTGGTGAGACGAAAGACAAGGCCGCAGAAGAACTGAAGGGCGCTTGCAAACATTTCATCGAAAAACTCCTGGGAGCTGAGAAGGCGGCCGAATATCGTGCTATGAGGGAAAGCGGTACGCCAGCAGAAAAAATTGCGGAAAAAATAGAAGAAGCCATCGATGAGCTGACCGACGAAGGCGCAAGAACAAGGGCTAAGAAGGCCTCAGCTGCATGCAAGCGTATTTTCGGCGTAGTACGTCGTTTCAGGAGGGACGAGCATCATCCGGTCACTCTTGAAGAAGCTCTTCACAAGTACCTCACCTGGTTGAGTGATGACCAGAAAGCGGAACTGAAGTCGCTCAAAGAAAGCGGTGATAAGGAAACCATCTATAAGAAGGTCATGGAGTACTTCGAAGGTACCAGTGGTGAGAAAAAAGGAAAAGGCCGCAGAGGAGCTCAAGTCCGCTTGTAAACATTATATCAAGGAGATTCTGGGAGCTGAGAAGGCCGCCGAATTCCGAACTATGAGGGAAAGCGGAACGCCACCAGAAAAAATTGCGGAAAAAATTGAAGAAGCCATCGATGAGCTGACCGATGAGGGCGCCAAGACGAGGGCCAAGAAGGCGTCCGCAGCATGCAAGCGTATTTTCGGCGTAGTACGTCGTTTCAGGAGAGGACGAGCAACACCCTGTCACTCTCGAAGAAGCCCTGGACAAATATCTACCTGGCTAAGCGATGATCAGAAAGCGGAACTGAAGTCACTCAAAGAGAGCGGTGATAAGGAAACCATCTACAAGAAAGTCATGGAGTACTTCGAAGGTACCAGTGGTGAGACGAAAGACAAGGCCGCAGAAGAACTGAAGGGCGCTTGCAAACATTTCATCGAAAAACTCCTGGGAGCTGAGAAGGCGGCCGAATATCGTGCTATGAGGGAAAGCGGTACGCCAGCAGAAAAAATTGCGGAAAAAATAGAAGAAGCCATCGATGAGCTGACCGACGAAGGCGTAAGAACAAGGGCTAAGAAGGCCTCAGCTGCATGCAAGCGTATTTTCGGCGTAGTGCGTCGTTTCAGGAGAGACCAGCAGCCTGACATCGAGGAAGGCATGCAAAAGTTCCTGACGTGGTTGACCGACGATCAGAAGCAGAAGGTCAAAGCGAACGTATGAGAGTGGTGATCGAGAAGCATTCTACAAAGAGATCATGACGATGTTCGAGGCTGCAAGTGGAGAAGTGAAAGCCAAGGCTAGCGAGGAGCTGAAAGCGGCTTGTAAGCACTATGGAAAGGATCTGATGGGTGAGGACAAAATGAAGGTCATCAAGGAGATGAAAGACGGCGGCGCGACTAACGAGGCGATCTCGCAGAAAATCGAGGAGTTGGTTAAAGAAAGGACGGATGCCGAAAAGAAAGCAAAAGCGAAAC